ATCCTGTTGCCGGTCGTGGTACGGGCGCAACACTGAGAGTTGCGATCCCGTTACCGGTCACGAAAAAAGACAAAAAGGAAAAAAAAAAAAGTTCATGGAAAGATTCATATTATCTTTTAATTCTATTTTTCCACCAACTTTTTGAAGTGTCCTCATACAAATTAAAACCACAATGATACCAGAATGGCTAAAATGAAAAAGACTGACAATACCAAATATTGGCAAGGATGTGTAGCAACTAGAACTCTCTTACGCTGATGATGGGAATGTAAAAAGGTACAACCACTTTGAAAAACAGTTTCTAATAGAGTTAAATATATACATACCATATAACCCACATATGCTACTCCTAGGTATTTACCCAAGAGAAATAAAGACATACATCCACAGAAATACACAAATGCTCATATTAGTTTTATTCATATTAGCCCCAAACTAGAAATAACCTAAATATCTATCAACTGGTGAATGAATAAACAAGAGTATTTAAAATATATAAACAAAAGAATGTGCTTCAACAGTGAAAAGGAACAAATCACTGATATACCCACCAACATGGATGAATCCCAAAATGATTATGCTGGGTGAAATAAACCAGACAGAAAAGACTACATTCAGTATGATTCCATTTACATAAAATTCCAAAAAATGCAGCCAGAGGTGGAATGACGAAGGAATGGCAAAGGGATACAAGGAAACTTTCAGGGAAATTTTTTGTATCTTAATTATGGTGGTGGTTTCATGAGTGATTACATCTATTAAAATTCATTGTAAGGGGCCGGCCTGGTGGCGCACTGGATAGTGCGCCGCTTGGGAAGCACGGCGGCGCTCCCGCCCGAGGGTTCGGATCCCACATACAGACCGGTTCCCGCTCACTGGCTGAGCGAGGCACGGGAGCAACACCGAGGGTTGCGATCCCGTTGCCGGTCCCGGTCCGGTACGGGGGCGACATTGAGGGTTGCGATCCGCTGCCAGACACGGAAAAAGACAAAAAAAAAAAAAAAAATTCATTGTAAGGCCGGCCCGTGGCTCACTTGGTAGAGTGCGGTGCTGATAACACCAAGGCCACAGGTTTGGATCCTATATAGGGATGGCCGGTTTGCTCACTGGAGTGTGGTGCTGACAACACCAAGTCAAGGGTTGAGATCCCTTTACCGGTCATCTTTAAAAAAAAAAAAAAAAATTCATTGTATTGTATACTTTGAATGAGTGCAGTTTATTGTACATGTTACCTCGATGAAATTGTTAAAAAAAAGGAATCGTATCGGGGCTGGCCCGGTGGCGCACTGCTATAGTGCACCGCTTGGGAAGCGCGGTGGCGCTCCCGCCGAGGGTTCGTATCCCACATATGGACCGGTTCCCGCTCACTGGCTGAGCGAGGCGCAGGAGCAACGCCGAGGGCTGCGATCCCGTTGCCGGTCCCGGTCCGGTACGGGGGCGACACTGAGGGTTGCTATCCGTTGCCGGACACGGAAAAAGACAAAAAAAAAAAAAAGGAATTGTAACATTTCTTTTTGTTAAAAAAAGAAAGATCATCCTTATGCAGTAAAAAGGAGGAGAAAAGACTCACCTGGATTTGAAACAATAAGAATTTTACAGTCAGGACTATGATGAACTACGGTAGGAATAATTGATTTCATGACATTCACATTACGTTGAACCAGGGCAAGGCGACTTTCTCCCTCCTGCTGCCTTGCACCTGCTGTGACAATAACTAATTTGGAGTTGGCAGATACAGTGTAATCTAAAAAGGAAACAAAAGACAATATTTGGATCAAGATTGTGCCCTCTTTAAAAGTATGTTCTTGGTATTAAAGTACTCATCTACATTCACATCTGGCATTTGCAGATGAATAGACTTTCCATGCAGTAGTATTATCTTGTATAACCTGAAGGAAGCCTTGTCACTACAACTTGCTAGTTTTCACAAAACTACCTCCAAATTTTTAATTTTTAATTTTATTTTTTAAAAGATGACCGGTAAGGGGATCTCAACCCTTGGCTTGGTGTTGTCAGCACCATGCTCAGCCAGTGAGCCAACCGGCCATCCGTATATAGGATCCGAACCTGTGGCCTTGGCATTATCAGCACCGCACTCTCCCGAGTGAGCCAAGAGCCGGCCCCCTCCAAATTTTTTATAACAATACAACCTACCATCCCCTTTAGCCCACACTCTCATTTGTTATTAAGGCCCAAGGCAATATAATCAGCTTTCTGGCTTTTTAGAAACACCAAAATGTACAGAAGCTTAGAACTCTGATAATTTGTGTGTCTGTTTCAGGATTCTAAGAGTGAGAATGTATTTACTTCTAATTATTATAAGGGACTGGACTTGAGATAACAAACAAGTTCTTGATCCACACAAGAAAATAAACTACCTAGTAAATGTGAAAACCAGTCTTAAAATTGTTTCACCTATTGAATCCAATGCCAATATGATACAATGCTTACTAACCCATATTGGACTTTTTTTTTAAAGCATCGTATAGCTTGGAGTTACTTTCCCTAGGAATTCAAAAATTAAATTAGCTAAAATATCCTCTATATCCCATCTTTACTTTTTTAAAAAAATTTATTTTTATGCTCTTTTGGAAAAGGAAATCCGCTTAATTTTTAAGATATTATTGCATCTCCACTTATGGTCATCCTCATCTTTCTAATCCAAAAGAAATTACTTATGAAACAAACACTTTTATGTTTTTTCTGCCCTGGTAAAGATTTTAATTGGTAAAACAAATTTATGAAGACAACATTTCTTAGGCTATGTTACACATTAATCTAAGAGATTAATATTGTATCAAGTAAAAGCTCTTATAGCAGGAAGTTCTCTCTCTCTCTCTCTGCACATGTAACCTACTCATTCTCGCTCAAAGACCTTGCTCAACATTGACCTTCTGTAAAGTCTTCTCTAACCACAAAAATCCAAAACAATCTCAATCTCTGCCCCACCAGGATAAACAGGCAAAAAACACTGTAACTTCTCGAGCATCTCTCTGTGGTTCAGATTATTTGAAATATGATTAATTATTCTGTCACAGATTCCCTTAAAGTATATGCCATAATAGCTAGCTCCAAATTATCTTACTACCTTTATGTCTTTTTTCTTTTTAATGGAAACATGTTTTTTAATGTTTTAAAGGCTGGTATTACTGACATGAGCAGTACAGAAAAGATAAGAGACAGACCGAAACCTATGGGAAAGGGGAAAAAAAAAAAAAGGAAAAAAGCATTAGGAAAATGAAGTACCTACTATGCTTGTTTCTCTCTTTCAATCTCGTTATTCCCCAGAAGGAATGCATGGTTCCTGGAGGTACTACAATAGCAGATCAGTGTGGAGTGGATGGAGCAAGCTCCTAGTCCATCTCTCTGCTCCAAAAATCCATTTAATATATTGTCCTCAGATAGAGGATATATCAGATATTAAACTGATAAGAATAGATACTACACTTGATCTTAGCCAAAAGGCCAAGAAGCAATTGTCTTATTTTTATGTCAGATTTTCCAGGTGTTCTGATTCTGTTAATGCCATCATCTCCTTACCTGTTATTTTTTTTTTTCTAAATATAACTCATTCCTCAAAGAGACAGCAAACCATAGTTGCATGGAGCAAAGGTTCTGAGGTCCAATTGCCTATATCACAACTCTGCCACTTACTAGCTGTGTGACCCTGGACAATTACTTTGCCTACCTCCCTGATCCTCAGTTCCTCATCTGCAAGATCAAGCTGATAATAGTTCTTTAAATATGGTTCTTAAGATAATTCAGTGAGAGGGCCAGCCCATGGCTCACATGGGAGAGTGTGGTGCTGATAACACCAAAGCCAAGGGTTTGGATCCCTATATAGGGATGGCTGGTTAGTTCACTTGGGAGAGCGTGGTGCTAACTACACCAAGTCAAGGCTTAAGATCCCCTTACTGGTCATCTTTAAAAAATAAAAAAGATAATTCAGTGAGTTAATATACATTAAGTACTCAGAACAGTGCCTACTATGTATTAAGTGCTCAATAAATGTTAGCAATGATCATATTTATTAGTCAAGTACTTCTTCAAAAACCAGTTCCTCTGCTAGGTGTCCCTTAATCATATCATTTGTAAATACTACTCTTTACTGCACAGAATTTTTATAGCACTTACTGCCTATAATTCTCAAATCATCCTTATAATATAGTGCCTCATGTTATCTTCCCATGGTTCTGTCTTAAACCCCTAACTTTATCATAAGCTCCATATAATAGTTCTGATCTTATATTCTTCCCTTCCACAAAATCTTTGCACCTCCTATGTTCCAGGCACTTGGACTCATTGTACATATGAGGATGAGACAATTACGTAGATAATCAATGATGTTCTATTGCTCCTCCTCATTAAAGCTCATGAAATATATTTCCAAAATGTTCTATTGTGAAATATATCATTCATATAAAAGAATGTATAAGAAATATATTTTCAACTTTTTAAATGTTAAACTTAACAACTCTGTTAAAACCACACAAATTGATAGAACATTGTAAACACGTTGGAATCTCCTTTGTGCCCCTAATAGATAGACATCACCTATATCCTTCATACTCACAGATTACCAACCACTCCTCTGACTGGAGCTTACCTTAAAAAAAAAGTTTTATCAACTATGCATATTTTAATAACATATTGTTTTATCTGTTTTTGAATCATGAGGGTATTCTTTTAGCTAAATATTATGTATCTGATATTCATCCATGTTAATGTGTATTCCTGTAGTTTACTCACTTTCTTTGCTGTATAATATGCAGTTATGCAGTAAATAATTTCTACAACTTATTACTGGTATTCATTGGTTTGTTTTCGTTTGGGGGCTATTACAAACTAAACCAAAATACACTCTTGTACATGTATCCCAGTGTATGTGTACACAAGTTTCTCTTGGGAATATATCCAGGAGTGCAATTTCTGGGTTATGGAATATGTTCATGTTCAACTTCACCAGGTAATGACAAACATTTTTAAAAGTGGTTTTACTATTAATACACTCCTACATGTTATGCACAAGAACACCTGTTATTCCACATCCTCACAAACAGTAGTATCACACTTTTGCCAGTCTAATGGGTATGTAATGGTATATTGATATGTTTTTTATCTTCCTTTCCTTGGTTGTTAAAGAGATTGTCTTTTCCTATATTTATAAGCTATTTGAGTTTCTTTTATGAAGTATTCAAGTCTTTTCCCATTTTTCTATTGTGCTATGTATATTTCTTATTTATTATACAAGTATTTTTATTCTGAACACTATTCCTTTGTCAGCTGTTTATGTTGCAAATATCTTCTCTCCATTTATGGCTTGTCTTGTCACTCTTTTATAGTGTCTTACTGAACACAAATTCTTAACTTTATCTTCTTTATTATTTGTGCTTTTTGTGTCTTTATGTTTAAGAGATTCTTCCCTATTCTGAAGTCATAAAGATATTCTTTGTTATCTTTTAAACAGAAGCTTTGAAGTTTTGCCTTTCACATTTTGGTCTTTTAACCAACTGGGATTTCATTTTTTGTTCGTGGTATTAGGTAGTGGTTCAATTTTATTTCTTTCCATAAAAATTATCATTACCAAAACAAAAAATTATATACGTCCATAAATTTCCCATTTACCTACAATATTAGTAGTTAAGTTATATAACAATCTTTTGTCTTTGCACTTAATTAGTACAGCTTTATAATAAGTCCTGATATCTAGTAAAGCAAGTTCCCATCACCTTATTCTTCAAGAGTGTCTTGACTATTCTGGAACTTAGAATTTCTCAATGAATTTTAGAATTTGATTGGCATGTTAGCTCAGTTGGTTAGATAAACAACCTTGCAAGGTCATAGGTTTGGATACCCATACTGGACAGCCACCAGAAAAAAAAAATTAAGTTTGGCATGTCCAACAGTAACAAACCTGTTGCAGTTTTGACTGAGGTTGCATATAATCTACAATCAATATGGGAAGAATGGACATCTTACAATATCAAGGCTTCCATGAAAAAGGCATGTCTCTTCATTTATTTAGATCTTTAATATCTTCCAATGGGGTTTTCTGTACAAAAGCTCTTCTACATGTTTTGTTACATTTATTCCCAGGTATTTCCTATTTTTTTTTTGTCCTTTTTGAGACCAGCCGTACTGCGCTCAGCCAGTGAGTGCACCGGCCATCCCTATATAAGATCCGAACCCGAGTGTGCCATGGGCTCGGCCCCAGGTATTTCCTATTTTGACAATATTGTAGCCGGCCCGTGGCTCACTCGGTAGAGTGCGGTGCTGATAACACCAAGGCCACGGGTTCGGATCCTATATAGGGATGGCCGGTTGCTCACTGGCTGAGCGTGGTGCTGACAATATTGTAAATAATAGCTTCAAATTTGTTTCGCCTGTTTTCCAAATCCTTAGCCATTTTCCTTCACTGAAGTGTCTGAGACACTTGATTTTACTGGCAGTCCCTAGAGGCAGGGAAAAGAGAATTATTTCTCTTAATGTAAGGATAATTGTTTCTATGAAAAATAAGGGTAATTGTTTCTATGAAAATTATTACATCTGTTGAATCACAGTACCAAAGAGTGCACTATATACTTTAGTGTATGATAAAATCATTATTTTTCCCAATTCTCTGAAGCTTCTTAGTTGGTCAATATACGATGCTAATACTAATGGGGCCAAGTTCTCCACTTCCTGTGTTCTGTGGCTTCATGCTGTACCTTGAATCCTGATCCTTTATATACACAGAAAGAAAATCAGGTTAAAGAGCATGGATAAATACAACTATGTCAATATATTATCAAAATTATTCAAGACTAAATATCCTTGGTAAAATATATGACAGAATGACAAGTTTAAAAAGAATTTACATACTATAATGTCAGTTACATAAAAAACAAATGCATAGGAAAAACTACACAAAATCATTAACAGAAGAGATTCAAAATTTTCTTTATACTTTTCTGTATTTTCCAAATTTCCTCCATTGATATAAAATGTTCTTTTTTTCAAAATTAACCTTTTAAACTATATGGCCTAATGACATGGTGCTATTTTATATTTATTGACATCAGTTTTGTAAAATACAATGGTTTTTTTAAAGCTCTGAAAACACTTTATAAAACATAAATTAACCTTTTCCAGAGATAATCTTTGCAGTACTAAAGAAAAGACTGCCATGCTGAAGATCCATTGTTTCTCCCTTCAATTTGTCCGATGCAATATCAATAAGGGCAAGTTCATCAGCCAAATCCTAAAATACATAAAAATTTTAAATAAAGTGTTCTGAAACATGTTCTACTTAAGTTTTAGGAGAATGAAAAGACTTTCATTCAGCTACTTTATAATCAAAGGAGTCTCATATTTTTACTAAGAAGAAAATTTATAAAAAAGTTTTTGAATGTGCCTAGAGTGGCTAGAAGTCAAGGTAAACAATAGGATGTACCAAAAATTAATTGCTTTGCATTCACATAATTGCTATAATTTTTTAGATATAGGTTTTTTACCCTTCGGATAACAATTTAAAACTAATGAACGGTGTTAAAACATCAAGGTCAAGGGTTCAGATCCCTGTACTGGCCAGCTGCAAAAAAAACCTAATTAAATAAAACTAATGAAAAGCTATGAATTATTTCAAAGGATTTTATTATATTTAGCCTTAAGCCTAATTCTTGAGTTGGTTGGCTGAAGCTGCTTTTAGTATGCATCCTTATGGCCAAAAGAGAAAGGTAGCCACCTGTGGTAAACATCTATTGTTTTCACCTGTCCACTATCCCTTTTTCTGGTAATAGAATTCCTCTTTTCTGTGGTTCAGTGCAGTACAGATAACATTGGTCCTCCAACTTAGGGGTAGATAACCAGACCCAGCAATTGTTCCATCTTCTCCTTCTTGCCAGAGCAATTAGGTCACGAATGGGCATAGGGCCCAGGCATGATAAATGAGCACAATGTCTATCAGGTTTGAAAATGAAAGATGGGAGATTAGGTCTTACTTTTCTTTGGAATCATAAGCTCTAAGAATAACATAAGACACTATGAAAACCTGTACAACCATTTTTACCACCACATAGAAAGACCCTGCCCCAAAATTAAGCTAATAGAGGAAATCTAAACAAAGATACACATAAACTGTTTTGATACGTCTGAACTCCAGAATCCAGAAGTACCTGAAACTAGCTTTGCTCTTAGATTTTCCAGTTACATGAACAATATATAGTTTCTTTCTGCTTATCCTATTTTGAATTGGGTTTTCATCACATTCAACAGAGTATAGAACTATATAGAAGGAGTACATTCCCTCAGATTCCAGTGGCCAGATTCCAAAGATGAATAGTAATCTGGCATTTCTAAAAAACTGAATATTCTAAAACTTTACAAATTGTGTGTTAATATATCAGGAATGAGAAGAGGATAAGAAGTTCCATCCAGAAGGATCGCATTAACACTTCTCAGCTAACTGATAAGAAAACACAGTCATGTTTATGGAACCATTTCTATATTAGTCTGTGTCTCTGTATGGGTCTGTTTAGGAATATTTTTTTTTTTGTGGCTGGGCAGTATGGAGATCCAAACCTGTGACCTTAGTGTTATAAGGCTGCACTCTAACCAACTGAGCTAATTGGCCAACCCTGGATCTGTTTAGGAAAACAGAAAACACTCTAAGCATTTCAACAGAGGGGATTTAATACAGGGCACTGGTTAGACAGATGTTGGAGGGCTGAAAAAGCAAAAAGGGAACATTTGTGGTAACCCAGAGAGAGCAGATGCAGTTAGAAGCTACTATTCCTAAGGCTGAGGGAACAAGGAGAGAGAATAAAGGAGTACTTCAAGGAGCTAAGCTCAGACCTCTGAAGGAGGCAAAACCTGACTGCTACTGATAATACTGAAGAGGCACAATGAGGACAATGCTAAGAGTTCCAAAAGAAGCTGGAGGCTAGAACTAACTTCTACCATTAGGGCAAAGGGCTGCAGAGGGGATGACAGTGACCAGAACATCAAGCAAAAAAGGAGATCACTTCTTCTCTAGTCCTCTTGCCTTCCAGCTTCACTCTAGTGCACCATTTTGGCAGAACCTGACAAAATGCCAATTGGTAAAGGTTTAAGAAGTTATGCAGAGATCCAGCGCCAGCATCACAAAGCAGAATATATACATGGTTGGATTTGGAGCTGAGTGATGATAATTTAATAACCAATGCTTTTAAATTATATTTCCAACTTTTTCTGTTCTCAACAAGTTACCAGACAATTCTCTTGTCAAGGGAATCTTTCTAGCTCCATTTGTCTTGACTGTCAAAGACAAAGCTCAAAAAGTTTTTGTTGTTTGCTTGTTTGCTGGGTTTTTTAAAAAAGAGTTAACTACATCTTTGGGAGTCATTTCTGAAATAGAATTCCAAAGAAAGAACCTTGGCTTGTTTAGCATGCCAGAATCTTATAAGAATAGTTATGACTGTCCCAGGATCGTTTCTGCAGGGAGTGTCAGAGTAACCATAATAAGGCAGAGAACAAGAGAATAAAGAAAATTGCTATAGACACTTTGCTCTGTACAGGACAAGAAAGTAGACTGTACAGCTACCCATTCCTAAAAACTTTACACATCCTTATAAACACTTTAAAGTCAATATGCATATTTTAATATCCTTCATCACTTTACATTTATCCCACAATATACATCAATATGACCTGAAGACAGGGGCCTGAACTACTCTGCTTCACCTGGCTATTTGCCAGAGTATAGTAGAATCTAGTAGAAAACTAAACAGCATGAACAATTGACCTTTCACAATTAAGAGTTCTGAAATTTTATGATAATATGCCTTGGAGTAGGCCTTTTTTTATTCATTGTGATGAACACAGTGAATTCTTTATATCTGAAAACTCATATCCTTCAGTTTCAGAATTTTTGTTTTATCTCTTTAATAATTTTCTCCCCTCTCATTTCTTACTGAAACATCAATTAATCACCTATTGGACCTCCTTATTGATCCTCTAAATTCATCTTTTTTTTCCTCTTCTATATTCCATCTCTGTCTGACAGTCTTCTCTATAGTAACACAGTGAGAGTAAGAAGGTTCATGCTTCATGGTCCAACATGTAGACTTTCACTTAATCCTACTGCTTTCAATAAGATGCCTGTCTTCTACTATCCTTGACATCTTGAGTGCACAGCCTTATTCAATTTCTTCAAAGAATTAACTGCTTTCCCTGGCCTGCTGGGATGTGAGAGGTGATTGCCTGGTTGATTCAGGTACAGAAGAGAATCTGGTGGTTTTCTCTCTCCTCATATAAACTTTCAACCAATCCTCCTGTTTTGGGCCCCATCCCTCACCTCTACCTTGTGAGGTGTATTAGTCCATTTGTGTTGCTACGACAGAAACACCTGAGACTGGGTGATTTATAAGGAAAAGAAGTTTATTCAGCTTACAATTCTGGGACAGCTGCACCTGGCAAAGGCCTCAGGCTGCTTCTACTCATGGTGGAAAGTGGCAGGCAACTGGCAGGTACAAGCAGATCACATGGCGAGAGGAAGTGAAAGGGAGAGAGGGGAGTTGCCAGGGTCTTTTAAACAACCAGCTCTCATGGGAACTAACAGAGCGAGAACTCATTCATTAATCCCCCCACCTTGGGAGAGCATTAAGCCATTCATGACAGATCCGCCCCCGTGGCTCAAACAGCTTCTAGCACTGCCACATTGGGGATCAGATTTCCACATGAGTTTTGGTGGGGACAACACATCCAAACTCTATCATGAGGCATCTGCTACTTCCAATTCCTGAGCCTTTTTGGAATTTTGGAATTAAACTGGCTGTGCTTCTTTTTGTCATCTCCCTTTACAGCTTTCCAAATGTTGTATAAATTATATATTAGAGCATTTAAGAACACAGGATATGTGTTCAGTTGCCAAAGGTTGAATCCTGGCTCCTCTACCCACTAGGCCATGGGCAAGTTATTTAACATTTCTGTTTCAATATTCTTATTTAAAAATGGAGATAATAATAGTACATACCTCTTAAGGTTGTTATAAAGATTAAATAGTATCTTTAAAACTAAATTTAGAGGGCCGGCCTGTGGCTCACTCGGGAGAGTGCAGTGCTGATAGCACCAGGGCCACGGGTTCGGATCCCATATAGGGATGGCCGGTTCACTCACTGGGTGAGTGTGGTGCTGACAACACCAAGTCAAGGGTTAAGATCCCCTTACCGGTCATCTTTTAAGAAAAAAAAAAAAAAAAAACTAAATTTAGAGAGGCAAAAGACTTAAACATTGAAAACTACAAAACACTGCTGAAACGAAGAAGACACAACTAAATGGAGAGACATCTTGTGCCCATAGATTGTAAAGAAGTACTACCCAAAGGTATCTACAGATTTTTAAAAATCCCAATGCAATTTTTTTTAAAGAAATAAAAAATATCCATCCTAAAATTATGTGGAATCTCATTCAGCCTCCAGTCCCTAAGAGCAGAGGAAGGCACTGCTACCCAGGACTGGCGACATAATTTGCAAGGCCTGGTAGATATTAAAACATGGGGCCATTTGCTCAAAAACTATTATGCATTTCAAGATGGTGGTAGCAGAGCACTAAACTAAGCATGGGGCCCTTCTAAGTATGGAGGCCTGTGTAACTTCCAAGGTCATACACCCATGAAGCAGGCCCTGCTACTACTCAACTTTACTATTTCATTCATAAAGCCAAGGAATGCCTGAGAAAGAGAAAAATCTATCCTAAAATTCATATGGCCCCAAGTAGCCAAAACAATCTTGAAAAAGAACAAAGTTGGAGGTGTTATACTTCCTGATTTCAAAACTTACTACAAAGCTACAGTAATCAAAACAGTGTGGTAGTGGCATAAAGACAGATGCATAGTCAAGGGTTCAGATCCCCAACAGGCAAGGTGCCAAAAAAAAAAAAAAAAAAAAAAATCCAAAGACCTAAATGCAAGACTTAAAACTATAAAAATCTTAGAAGAAAACATAAGATAAAAGGTTCCTGACATTGAATTTGGCAATGATTTTATGCAAGAACACCAAAAATACAGGCAACAAAAATAAAAATAAATTAGAGATTAAAGTTTAAAATTTCTGTGCATCAAAAGACAGTCAATTTAGTGAAAAGGCAACTCATGGGAGAAAATATTTGCAAATTGTATATCTGGTGGTTAATATCCAGAATACATAAAAAACTTCTAAAACTCAAAATAAAAGGCAACTCATGGGAGAAAATATTTGCAAATTGTATATCTGGTGGTTAATATCCAGAATATATAAAAAACTTCTAAAACTCAAAATAAAAAACCCCTGATTTTTCAAACAGGAAAAGGACTTGAATAGACATTTCTCCAAAGACGATATATAAATGGCCAAAAAGCATATGAAAAAATACTTTGAAAAAAGAAAGAAGAAAAATCAAAGGACTTCTACTGTTATTTTATCAAATTTGTTATTTATCGTTTTACAATGTGCATGTGGTATCTATACAATTATTTTAAAACATTAAGTGTATGTAAGCCATTGGGAAATATGATTTTTTCCCATTATTCCTTGAGGAAGACAAGGTACTGGAACATTTCCACAGAAAATGTTGTATTAACATAATAATCCAGGGTGCCCGATTAACTCAGTTATTTAGAGAGCTGTTTTATAACACCAAGGTCAAAGGTTCAATTCCCTTCAGGCAAGCCACAAATATATAAATAAACAAACAAATAAATAAACAAACAAACAAGTAATAATAATAATCCAATCAATGTGTCTCCTATGAGTAAATTTAAATAGTCTAGCAATGCCTTACACATGGTCAGCTCCAAATAAATGTTTTTTAAATTGTATCAAAATTAGATGAGAGGATACACATTTGCTATCAAGGTATTAGCCCTGCAACCCTGAATTCATCAATACCTGCAAGACCTAAAAGTGCTTACTTGAGACTAATGGGTAAAAAATTATGCTATCTACCCTAAGTGAATCACTGTGCAGTATATGCAAGTACTGAAACAATGCACTGTACCCCATAAATACGTACAAATAAATGTTAAAACAAATTTTTTTAAGTGCTTACTTGATTTTCAGGTTGGGCTTATCACTTACCTTCAGTAAGATACAAATAGCACAAGCCATGCCGACGGTACCCGTTCCAACAATGGTGATCTTACACTGGGAGCCTGTATCTTCCGCAATCAGATTTTCAATAAGCCGCTCCTTGACCGTAGACATTTTGAGAACCTGACAGGGATAACGCAACTTCAGTCAAACCAAACCCCCAAAAATTATCACTCTGAAGCTACGATGTACTAACCACCCTGAACATCTAAGGAGCTACCTCTTAAGTTGCAGAATGTTAGAGCTGGGAGTGGGAGAAAGCCAAAGAAAGAATGTCCTAGTGAAAGGGGGCGGTGGGAGTGGGGAAAGGCAAGGCCCAGTCTATCAGTGTAGGGACTGCGGCACAAAAAGGCTTTCTGATTTCTCCCTGACCCCAGCCACCACGCTCACAAATCCTTTGTTTGGCGCAACTCAATACAGATGGCTCGAAAGCGAAGCAAACCTTTAAGGAAGGCGAAAGAAATGACACCAGAAAAATACAACAACGACCGTTGAGGTGCGAAGATCGACGACAGTTACACCCTACCGGCCGCTACGCACGCACGCTCCCACGCACAGCCGTCCTTCGTCAGCACGCAAGCTCCGCCCTCCCCTCCACCACCGACCCCCACCCCACCCCCGCCGGCCCGGGCGCAGGCGCATTGGCAAGCGCTGGGTGTCCTCTCGGCCTGAGAGGGGTCTCGTGGGGGAGGGTTGTGGTCTATACTACCAGAATGCTGATGTGAAGAATTTTAGATGGCCTCTAAGAGTGAGCAAGAGGGGATATTGGAGTGTTGTTTAATTTTCCTCAGCCAACCTAGGCATGGGACTGATTTTAGGGCCCAGGCTTCTTTGGAGACCTCGCTACCACCCAGCCGCTGAGGGGCAGGCCCGAGGTCCCCGTGGGAAAGAACTCTCCTGGGAGCGCCTGCCGTTCTTACGGTGGTGCCAGCTTAAGACAGCGGCCTGAGGAGATGGCTTCCAAATGGCTTCCAAATCCTAAAGCGGGAGTGGTTGGTTGTGGCGAGGCCGAAGATGGGCAGCTAGCTTGGGAAGTACCTGGGCGGAACTCGCCTCCCGGCCTGAAGTCGCCTAACTTGCACCTTTCTGAGAGGGCATGCTGAACAGACCTGGACTCTTGGGCTGAAAAGAAATTTAAGTAAAGGATGGGCTTGGGAATGACCAACCTGGGTTTGAGGAGATCAAACTTTTTTTTTTTAAAACGACCGGTAAGGAGATCTTAACCCTTGACTTGGTGTTGTCAGCACCACACCCATTGAGCTAACCGGCCATCCCTATATGGGATCCGAACCCGTGGCCTTGGTGTTATCAGCACCGCACTCTCCCGAGTGAGCCACGGGCCAGCCCCGAGGAATTTACTTTTT